CTTGTGCCGCTAGCGTTGTTGGTGCTTTATTCGCGTTTATTTGCAGTAAGACATTCCAACCCCTTGTGGACATACTCGGACAAAAATACGTCTACTGGATTTATGCTGCCATTATTTTAAGTGCCGTGCCATTTGCTATCTTATGTATGCCCGAAACAAAAGGCAAGTCACTACAGCAGATTCAGGAAGAAATAACTATGAAGAAATGAATGAGTGATTCCAGGTAATTAAATCGTTTTCATCTTTACACTCGGAGAATGGAAACTATTCGCCGGTGATTTCATTCCATCATCGGGTTCCCCTTCGATTGAAAACTTTGAACTATTTATTCTGAGAGATTGTGACGAGAAGGAGAATGGACAATAAACAAATTCAGTTTTTCTGAGAAATTTCATAAAAAGATTTACCGTAAAGTTGGACAACTCAATTATGACAATGGGATTAAACTTCATTAACTTTATAAAACGTACACCATCAGCAATTGCATTAGCTTTATTTACTGTATTGAGGGCGAAACAGCACTCACAGCGTCGAGGGGTTACAATCTGATAAAGGTTGGTCGTTCAATTGCCATTCTCCAAGAAGCTACCTATTATTTTCAATTTAACTGTTCATCTTTTAATTGCAAATAAATTTTTAATTTCATCGACTGTTTTAGATAGCCGAAGGAGGAAATTCTCGGCGATTTTGGTCCCAAACAAAATTGCAAGATAGGTAATGTGGTACAATGCATGACTGAAAATACATTTCAATAATTTATACATCAAACAAAATGGTTTAGAAGTACAAACAATTAGCTGAATTCTAAAAAAATATGAACTAATAAAAACCCAACACAGATGCCTCGAGCCTCAGCAATGTTTTATGGCGGAAGATTTATAGAATTCATGCACACAAGTTGGAATTTGTTCAGTCATGTTTTGGTGTTGTGATGAATTGAGTCTCCAGGACGAGTGTAGAGTCGTGGGTTAAAAGCGAGGAGCGGTTGCTTTCACATTTGAGCAATTTTGTGTTGTGGTGGAAACAAATTAATTCATCTTAACCAAGACCAATTTTCCGATCAACTTCGGAAATAATCTATACGGCAAACAATAGTTTTAAAAAAATTACCAGAAGTTTTCAATTTTTTAAGTCAAATCAATTGAGTGAGGTAGTGCACCATATTACCGCAAGATGTATTGGCACGCGAAGCAGTCAATAAGTAACGCATTGAATGCGGTCAAATTTTCCAATCTGCCATAGACAACAGTAGCAAAGTTCAAGCCATGCGTCATGACTGAGTTGAGCTGAAATACGAGGGGAGCGAACGGTATTGGTGGGCGGCCAAATCGTGTATACAGGTTGAACGAAAGGGGTTTTCGGAGTGTGTAGAGGTGGAGGGGGGAAATAGCGGTGACCCAAATTTTCTAGGAGTAACTTCCGGTAATCCACAACGGCTCTTATCGATCTACAGGGATGTTGGCTTAACGGTTCACCTCAGTTATTTCAATATCCTGTATTTGGAGAAAAATGCACCGGCACATGAAGTGGGAGTTTCAAGTGTTGTTTGCGAGTATCTAGGCGCTTAGAAGGAAATTTTCGATAGGAAAGCGGGATTTCGGTTGGGCTAATGGAATACTCTACATGAATCCATGACTTTTACTAAATTATATCCGGAGAATGTTTCCTCTCATGCAGCGGAAGACAATGAAATTCTGTGAATATCATCATCATACATTAAAGATTGAAGCGCTGATTTCCCCCTAGATCAAATATTGTTGTCTCTTGCTGATGGGCTGTCCTGAGGAGAATAACAGTCTACTCAGGAAAATTCTCAATTGTTGCATTCACTTTATTTTTGGTCTCCAGAATAAGTTCAATAGGCAGTTATTAAAGTCCAAAAGCGATTAAATAAACGACTGAATCAAAATGAACAACTTAAGAAATTAATGAATTAAATTGAAAGAATAAAGACATAAAGTTGAAAATTATTGGAAATTCCAATCAATTAAAATCGAACTTGACACGATTTGATCCAATCCAATATCGTCCTCAAATTACTTCACCCCACTGCAAGCTCCCGGATAAAGTCCCATCTAAGAGAAGCATTTGAACAATATTATCGAGACCCGACCCGAGTAACAGTTATGAATTGAAATTCACCCGCGAATGGTGAAGTAATGACATAACGAGCGCGATACGAAATAGGAGAGCGTAGGCAGTAGAAGAGGGAAGGTTTCCGGCGTAAGCTTTGAACTGTAAGCTCGTATCCCACCCCTTGTGCCAGTTCTGGAGCATGGAACTCGAGAACTGAGGCCACTTATGCCCTCGAGTGCTTTGCTCGTCTACAACTCACTTCAGGGTACTCTATTAACGCGAAACTTTCCTTTAAACCTTCATGAATATCACCGGTGTGGGCATCAAAGCAAGAATATCTATAGATTTTTTCAAGGTGAAACAGAAAGATCCAGTCATTTCAATAAATGAAATGAACAGCTGTTGCAATAACTTATATGGACGAATGGAAAACTGCTGAATTCGCTGGGGAAGAGGCGATGAGGAAGGGTGGGGTGAGTTGAGCGATTGGAAGATCGTAAATCCAGTCCGGTGTTAACCCGCTGGCAGGTTAACTCTCTTCTGCTTTTGCAGTGGAATTTTTCACCCTTGCGAAATGTCTGGGACAAACTATCTTTTGGATGGCATTAGAAATTAGGTTCTGCAGAAAATATTATACTGAATTTTTTTTTAACCCGAAAACTTTTGTTAAATCAATAGAATAGTCTAGGAATCATTGATCTTGATCTTTGACGATCGGCAAAAATTACACGTTCATCGATTTTATTTGGATGAACCAATGCAATCCATTTGCTACGAATAGCGGATAAAATTAACACAGTGAACCAGTCCGCTAAGTGACTTCTTCTGTTACAGACATTCGTTAAGATGTGAGCGAACTGATGAGACTTGAATGATGAGGGCGGTAGATTGAATTTTGTTTAGCGACTGAGCTTTACAATTTCAGTTTTCAACGTTAGTTTATAGCCAAGTTGAAACCAGTTGTTGCGTTCCGGTTTAGGTTTATTGCGTCGTATGAAATGGTTATGGTTTTATGACTTGGATGAAAGCTCTGGATTTTTTCAAAGGCATGAAAGGGATTAAGATTTCAATAATAATATAACAATAAATAATTTTCATGTAATTTTACTGAAAAAATACGCAAAATTGATGCAGAAATTCCCCAACAGAAAACATCCGGTATCATCTACAGTCGACCATTAGGCTAAGTGACTTTTCCTGCTACAGACATTCGTTAGGATATGAGTGAACTGCTGAGTCTTGAATGATGAGGGCAGTAGGTTATGTTACGAAGATTGAATTTTATTGAGTGATTGTGTTTTACCATTTGAGTAAAATTAGAAACTAAAAACTGCTGTCCTTCTCTTCAACTTTTCCCAGCCAAACTTTTTTCCTCTCGAATAATTTTGAAAAACTTGAAGGTATATGTAAAAGATTCAAGTTTCCTCACTGGAAGTTCTTAAGAAAATTGCCGGATCAATCCTGTATCGCAGATTCAATTAAACTTATGTGGGTTTCAGTCTAGGCGATTAATGAGGAAATACGGCAATCTGTGACGACGGTAGATGTGTCAGAATGCAACTATCTACGAGGTCTGTTGGGAGCACATAGCTCCTCGTATCTGTCCGACGATAACGACACCATTCTGCGGATTTACGAGAGAAGTACCTGCCAGATATGATTATCGAAGATGCCGCCTCTCGTTCCAACGAATAGCAAAAATTGAGTTTGGCAGGGTGATCATCTAATCTCATGTTGATTGATGCCGGAAAACTATTCCAAGCAAATAATTTTGTTTGTAATGAAACTGTTTTGGGATGATTTCAAGAGGGAAGAGAATTTTGAATTGAGAAAAGGTGATCATGAGAGCGAATAAATTGGCAAGATGCTTTCAAATAGTCAGTTTACACATCATTCTCTTCTATAGTATACAATTCATTATTTATTTTGTAGGCGCACGTCTAAAAAACTTCGTCAAAAAAACCTGGTTAAATCAACTTTGGGAAAGTGAACTTTTGGTTAATTCATATTCTAGATCCTCCCCTTTACAAAAGTGATTAGTCCAATTTTCAATTTCCCTCCATCATCTTTTCACAAAAAAAAATATATAAGAATTATTTAATCCCCACATCTGATTTCTTCCCATTCAGCAAACAAAAAACATCCGAGACCTCATATATCTCCGGAATATATCATCTAGTGGTTATACCGCGATATTATCATCGACGAGAAAGTTTGATCCCACCTAATGGGTGTGCCAAGGTACCGTGAGCAATTTTCAGGAAGAACCGAAGATTCATAGAGTACATTATTCACGAACGATTTAGCTTTGAAATAATGCATGCTGTAAGCTATACACAAGTAACGTGTTACATAATATATACATAAAAGGAACAGGAAGCCATCGGCAGACAGCAAACGCGTCGAGGGCGCGGCCCATCTCCTCCCCTCTCCACCACTATCCTTTTCACCAAGAATCCTACTTACTTGGAAATCCATTGCGCCAGAAGGTGGAAAACTAAACTTCTATCTATCTACAACTTCGACACTCACCCCATAACTGTGACACTGTCGTCTCGTATAAATTCAACGTAGATATATGAGAAGGTGAGATGCTTTTATTCCTTCCCACTATTTTCCACTAAGTAACTGAAAGATGTCAGCAAGTTACAAATATATTGGATAGTAGCAGCAGTTGTGATGTTTCTTCTCTCATGTCGACTGCAGCAAAAAAAATTCCACTTGAGGAAAAAAATATTGACACGAAAAACAGAACGATTCATTGATATTGAAGGTTCACTCGGTCGTCGAAGTAAAAAGTATATCTTATGAAAAAACATTTTTGATTTATCTATTATTTATAATACATGTAAGGGAGTTACATAACATAGAGAGTTACATTGGCCCTTCAGTTCAAGAAGAACAAAGAAAGTATGAAAAAAGCATTTCATTGTGAAAGGAACAATCTTCGGATGTATTTCAGCGCACGGTATCACAGTACAATAAGAGTTTATGTCTTAAAAATTATCATGTATAATTGTTATTCAGGTCACATGTATTACATTGGAATGGTATGTAATGGAATGTGCAAGATACTTCGAAGAGGCAATTGAATTCAGATTAACCTTCCCTGAGATCATCAGTAGTCTCAATAAAGATCTTATCGGACATGTGTCAACAATATCAACCACATACCACACTAAATTACGAGCAATTGACGCTATGAACGAAGCTCTATCACTTCTTCATCAACATATTTTGAATTTCCTGCAACGTTTTACCTTTCGTCTCCGGCAGCTGTGTCATAGTGAAAATAGCTAATAATATCATCATCAAGGCGTAAATATAATAAACATAGTAATCGATCGAATCAATAAATAGTTGGTAAGTTTGTGTTGTCATGAACGCAATGAGTCCAGAAATGATATTCGCGATACAAGAGGAGTAACTTTTGATATTTGGTGCAAAAATTTCACTCAAAATTGTGCTGGGTATAGGGACAATTCCCAAGTTGATAAAACACTCAAGAATAATGACCGAAAATATAATAAGCCACTGGAGATATAGAGGATTGCAACCCCACTTCAAAAATTGATAATGAATAGCAATGCCAACTAAACTAACTGCAAGTCCAATGGCCGAGGTAGCCAGTACTAATTTTCTCCCAAACTTGTCAATAGCAAACATGGCAACGCACCCCCCGACTAAGCCAATCGCGCTTATAACAATAACAGCCATCACCGGTTCGATCACTGTTACCCCTCCTTTCTTCAAAATAATCTCCATGTAGAATCCCACGGTATAGAGTCCACTCAATTGCATGAAAACATACACCATTATCACTTTGAACAGAGCTATTCTATTATGCGGAAGCATAAATTCTTTCAGCAAATTCTTGAACGTCATCGACTGCTTGTCTTTGATGAACTTTTGAAGCGATGCCAGTTCATTCGGAACATTGGCATCCCTTTGATACCATTTGATAGCAGCAGCTGCCTCCTCCATTTGATCCTTCAGTACCAGATGATGCGATGATTTGGGAAGCCAGTAGAATGATATGAGAAACAAAACAGTTACTGCTAGCATAGAGATGGCAAATGCTGGTATCGACATGTAAGCACCAGTCACGTTACCCACAACGTAGCCAATCGACATTCCATTAGCTATTGTACCAACGAGAGCACCACGAATCTTTGGATTAGAAATTTCACCTATGTAGAGGGGGAAAGAGATGAAGAACATGCCTGTTGCTACTCCACCAATGAATCTTGAGGCATAGAGCCAAATGACGGTATCAGCTTCTGCGAGGCAGACTAGGCTTACTAGCTGAACTACGCCAATGTGAAGGGCAGATGTCTTACTGCCAACTAATTCTACGTCGATTGCTCCGATTAAGCTACCTGCTGCTCGACCTATGTTCAGGAGTGATGCGATCCATGATCCCTCTGACTTTGTCATTGGAATTGGGGATTTTAATGGGTCCAGAAGGATTGCTAGAGATGGCGATGTCCATCCTGTTTCCACACCGCACAGGAATGCCATCAAGAATACTGGAAGAAGATTGTTGGAATGAAACAATAAATATGAGGTTAAATTACATAGATCAACGCACGTGATGATGCCGATATAGAAATGAAAGAGAGACGGAAAGAATTGTTTATGGGCAAATGGTTGTATGTCTAATTTTAGAAAAGAGATTGATGGAATTCCGAAATAATCATGAGTGGAAGTTGAGAAATGGTATTTTACACAACAAGTGAGGTAAGTCGGATTTTACACGCGAGTGCGGCGAAGCACTTACCACGAATCACTTAAAACCGACTTACCTCACGAGTATTATCGTCTTTAACGTGTGTGGGGTTTACAGCATGAGGCGAAGGCGAGTGATGTAACCACCCACGTTAAGGACGAAATTTCCCAACAAGTACTGAACAAAATTTTATGTCACGAAGCCTGAAACCGGCTGAATTAGACACGAGACGCGAAGTGTCGAGTGTGTAATCCAGCCGGTTTCAGGCATGAGTGGCGTAAATACCAGCAAAATAGCATAGGACGCGTGTAAAACTGGGAACGTCTGTTAAGTGAAGAACGATTGGTGGTGCGTGTAAAATTCGACTTACCGACCTCCAAACGCCCCTGTTAACCTGCACTTTACACGCACGCATGACATAAAGTCTTGAACACTTTTCCTTCTACCCTCAGGCTTCGATTTAGTATTGAACAACTGTTATCTTCATAATTATCGACCCGAAAGAACTCAAGGCCGCGGAAATTCATTCGAAAAAACATCGGTTTAGTGTTGAACAATATTAAAAATTATATAGCACGCCACAATTCAATCAATCAGCTAACTATAACAGTAAAGATAAACGGTGATAAGACAATTCAGCTTCTCGATTCATTCTAGTGGAATATCTCGGGATCTAAGGGACCGCCAAAATCGCAAGAAGACATTCCTGCAGTCCTCATGTTTTTGAAAAAAGTCGTTACGAAAATTTTTCTATCTCTTAATTGACGAATTGGTCACCCTTTACTAGCCCAGTATTGAACTTGCTATTTTCGAAAAGACTCTTTCAGACAACAATAATAAAGCACAAATCTATCAACTCAGCTTCTGAATTCACTGCACTACAAAGAATTCAATCTACAGGCAAAATTATGATTATTAATGAATTGATACAGTTTGTATTAGTTTCAGTTGCTGCAATTCATGAAAGTGAGAAAAGGTGAACAGAACTGTTTACGCGGAAACATTCATAAGACTAATTTTAGACGACAGAATGAAAAGATTGTGAAACAATCATTAGAGAAAACCCAAAAAAACATGGAATGCTTTTTTTCTTATACTCCGGGCATCGATTTATTATGAAAGACCTGTTATCTTCTTAATTGTCGACCCGAAAGAATTCAGGGTCGCGAGAGCTCATTCTAGAAAACATCTGTTTGATATTGAACAATATTAAAAATCATATTTCGACACATCATTTCAGTAATGGTAAACGGTGACAAGACAATTTAGCTTCCAGATTAATTTTAATGGAATATCTCAGGATCTGCACACAGAAAACGCTGTGCAGACTATCCGCATAAGTGTGCAGATAATCTGCATAGTTATGCGGGATTCACACATAAGCCGAAGTCACTATCTTATGTGCAAATCATGCATAAATAGTGCGTGAATCATGCATAGTTATGCAGATTATCCGCACAGCTATGCATGAAATACACAATTTTTATGCGGATTATCTGCACATCTATTTGTTCTTTCCACACAGATTTGGCATGATTTACACATAAGGGCAAAATTTTGATGAGGATACGTCTATCTTTCGTTATGAGGAATCGTTTTGTGAAATTGAACTTACAGGTCTAGATTTTTCTAGAAAATTCAAGGGACTTCAGGGAGTTTCTAGAAATTTCGGAAGAATTCAAGGAGTTTCTAGAAAATTCTAAAATGTTCAAGAAATTTTTAGAAAATTCAAGAAAATGCATGGAGTTTCTAGAAATTTCGAGGGAATTCAAGGAGCTTTGAGAAATTTCGAGGGAATCAAGAAATTTCTAGAAAATTCGAGGAAATTCAAAGAGTTTCTAGAAATTTCGTTGGAATTCTAGGAGTTTCTAAAAATTCCGAGGGAATTGAGAAACTTCTACAAATTTCGAGGAAATTCAGGGATTCTTAGAAAATTTTAGGGAATGCAAGGAGTTTTTAGAAATTTCGAGAAAATTTAAGGAGTTTCTAGAAAATTCAAGGAAATGCAAGAAGATTCTAGAAATTTCGAGAAAAATCAGGGAGTTTCTGGAAATTTTAAGTGAATCCAAGGAGTTTCTAGAAACTCTGAAGAAATTCACGGAATTGCTAAAAAATTGAATAAAATTCTTAGGTGTTCTGGAAATTTGAATAAAATTTGAGTTTCCCAAAATAATCGAGGAATTTCTAAAGTTTTAAACAACATTCAGAAAAAAAAATTTTAAGGGGAGACCGCGGTGAAATTTGAAAGTCTCGACTCGGCCTCAACAGCCATTGGATGACTTTTGATATATGAAGGGATGTATAAAAAAGTGAGAAAAATTTCAGACTCGAACCATTTTGCCCCGTATATTTACCAAAAACGTCATTTTTCACGTTTTTAGCTTAAAAAGACTCCTTGGACCACAGTTTTCATCCGATTACAACTTTTTTTTTTTTTAATGTTCGTTATACTCCAACGAAAAAACCCAAGTATCCGTTTTACTTTATATTTATTAGATGATGAGAAAATGTTTTTTTTTACTTTTTATTTTTTTTCCTCTTTTTAGCAAATGCTAAAATTCGTTGTTTTCCCCCATTTTTTTTTTTGTTATAATATTTCGATTACGTATGATTACAACGTGGAACAACGAAAAATAACTAGTTTTAGCATTTGCTAAAAAGAGGAAAAAAATAGAAACTAAAAAAATCATTTTCTCATTATCTGATAAATATAAAGCAAAACGGATACTTGGGTTTGTTCGTTGGAGTATAGCAAACATTTTTTAAAAAAGTTGAAATCGGGTGAAAACTGTGGTACAAGGGGCATTTTTAAGCTAAAAACGTGAAAAACAACGTTTTTGATGGATATACGAAGAAAATGAATTCTTACTTTTTCAAGTTTCAGCAATGTTCTCATTTAAACCATTAAAANAGGGGCATTTCTAAGCTAAAAACGTGAAAAACAACGTCTGTGATGGATATATGAAGAAAATGAATTCTTACTTTTTCAAGTTTCAGCAATGTTCTCATTCAAACCATTAAAATGCAACCTGAGAAATAACTCTCATACCACTCAGGAGAAAAAAATTAGCGAAAAAATCCCCGTAATTGACTTTTTTGATTTTGCGTTCTTCTGTGGAACTGCATCAATAGAATATTTTCTATTTTACAATTCAAAAGAACTGTCTAGCAAATTTGCGAGGATTTTCTAATAAATTTTTTCGTGCGTACTTATTTTCTTCAACTTATTTACCTTTTATAGGAGAGGCTGAGACAAACTGAAACCTTAGCTACCCACTGCGTGATGAAGAGTCGAAACTAATACAACAAACAGCGCTCTTTCACTTTCCTCTACTGTTCTGTTTTGTCCCATTATCCCCTTAAATTGTTGATTTAGAATTTACCATTTTTTCTCGCTTTCTCTATGAAATTCCGAATTGTTGAAGTCGCAATTCGTTAAAGATTCGGTGAGTACTGGATTTTTTTTCTGCGGAACTCTTATGGGCGGAACATGCATAAATAGTGCAGATAATCTGCAATTGGTTACTAGCAGATTTCATGCATACTTTATGCATATTTCATGCATAACTATGCAGACTTTACACATAGTGGGAGGTTCGCGGAGCTTATGTGTAAAACCTGCATAAGATTGCAGATAATCTGCACAACGTTTTCTGTGTGTGAGGGTCCGCCAAATTCGTAAGAAGGCCTTCTTGCAGCCCTCATTTTTTTGCAAAAGGTCGTTACGAAAGTGTTTCCATCTCTCAACTGAGGAATTTGTCACCTTTTACTAGTCCAGTATTGAACTAGCTATTTTCGAAAAGATTCCTTTACGCAACAATGATAAGCGCAAATCTATCAACTCATCTTTTCAATTCACTGCACTATAAAAGATTTAATCGACAGTGACAATTATGATTATTAATGAATTGACAGAGTTTGTATTACTCTCAATTGCTGCAATACACAACAATAAGAAAAAGTGCAAAGAACTGTTTCCGGACAAATGTTCATAAGTTTAATTTTAGACGAGAGATTGATGAGATTGTGAAACAATCAGAGAAAGCCGAAGAAGAATTTGGATACTTTTACTTCTGCCCTCCGAGCCTCAATTTTTTAAACGAAAACATTTATTATCTCAATAATTATCAGGATAAAATAATTCAAGATCACATGAGTTCATTCGAGAAAGCCATCTAACTGATGTTGAACAATATTACAAGTGAGATAGGACGAAATAATTCAAGCAATTAGTTATTTCTCATGGAGTAGCAGAGGGTGACAGGTAAATTGAGCAAAAGGACTTCACGAAAAGTTTCCCATCTTTCAACTGAAAAATTTATAACCTTTTACAATGATGAAGCACAGAACTATCAACTCATCTTCCCAATTCACACTACAACAAAACACTTAATCTATAGTCAGGATTATAATTCTGAATTGATTGACAAGGTTTATCTTACTCTCAACTGCTGCAATCCATTGCGGCCACGAGCCGCACCTCACCAATTTATTTCTCATGTTGAACTTACGTGATGCCTAAACGACACTGATACTTACTGCCATGAACGAAAAATCCAAACTCGTCATTACAACGAAAAGCAAGTTTCATTAGTGATTCTAGATTAGATAAAGTTTCCTTATTCAAATACAAGTGACTATCAACAAATTAAGAAATGGAGAGACATTACGAGGTATATCTTGAAGTTATTTACAGATTACTTACGGAGCCGAGCGTAAATACCCCGGAAATATTGTTCAATGATGCAGAGTAAGGGATTCGAGACATGAAAGTGAATGACAGTGGAAAGATTTAATCTTTTCGCTTGACCCAACACGGCCGCAAGATTCATGATCCAATGGTGCGAGTAATATATTCAGAAGGAAAAATAATAATTCGATTACCCGAGGGCACCAGCTCGTGGCAGTGAAAGAAGCGATGAAAAAATAGAAATATTTTGTGAACGTAGAGTGATAAAACATCGGCGGTAGATGAGGGGAAGGAAATCGGAGAGTAATAAAATATCGTCTTGTAAGCAAGATGGAAATTAAGGTGAGCACATAATCGTGTTTTATGACGTAGTAAAACACACCTTTATAATCTTGACCCGAAGAACGAATTTGTCGAATATTGGCCCTGTGACAAAACCCTTGACCCAAAGCTGAAGTATAATAACACTGGAACAACCTTGGTTGACGAATGTTGACCCAGCCCTAGATGAAACTTGACAACCGAGCAATACAACAACGGTCGTGGAACTAAGGCTGGGCTAGTGTTGGCCGAAGGTTATGCTAAGTTGATGGAATGAACGCTCGAGAGATTTGACCATTTCTTGGTTAATGTTATGAAGCTTGACTTTAGAAAATGATTTATTTTGAATCCGTAGTGGGAGATAAGTAATGAACCAGGGTTGATCGAGGGTTGGGAGAGTACCGGGCCAATTTGGAAATGATAACACTGGAATAAGTTTAATTGACAAGCAATAGAACAACGGTTGCGGAACCAAGGCTGGGCCCGTGCTGGCCGGAGGTTATGTGTGGACTGTGGAGTGAAGGCTTGGGAGGTGAGGCCGTTTCATGATATATGATATGATACTCAAGTTTAAAAATTGACTCATTTTTTAACCCTAGTGGGAGATGAGGAATGGGTGACGGTGGGCCAAAATTTGGCCCGGCAGGTCGACACTTGGTCCAATGCGAGCACCTGGGCGGATTCAGTTCTGAGACAATTTGAGAGTGATAACCCGGGATAAACCTTCGTTGACGAATGTTGGCCGAACCCTGGGAAGCTTAGCAACAAGAATTGGAGCAAGAGTAATACATTGAAGGCTAGGGCGACCGGTGCTGGCCCAAAGTAATGCCAAGCACCGGTCTCCCTCAAGACTTGGTGTGATCTTTTTTTGGTATATGACAAAACTTGACGTCAGAAATTGACTCATTTTGAATCTCTTGTGGGAGATCAGGCATAAACCATGGTGGATTGAGTCAGCCCAGCAGGTCGACCTTTGGACCAATACTGGCATGTGGGCCGAGCAACTGCTGGGCCAATCTCGAAGTCATAACTCTGGACAACAGTTGGTTGATGAATGCTGGCCGAACCATGGGTGAAGCTTGGCAACGAACATTGTGGCAAAAGTAATGTATTCGAGGCTAAGGGAACCAGTGCAGACCCTAGATTAGACCAATCCTTGAAATGCTAGAGATCGCTAGGGCTTGACCATAGAATAAATGGTCTGTTTCTCGCAAAATACTATCTCTCCATGTCATAGGATCTAGAACAAAAATATAGCTGATACATACTTACCTTATTTAAGTGATGATACGAGTGATCCACAAATGACCCTATCCACGTCATCCGGAATAACTCCCACGCATTATGCGGAACAACATATATAATGAGTTCACCGTTGTATTATTTACGAGCTTTCCAGGTCGTTGGTGCGTCTGGTGCGCGTCACACATACATAAGCACAACCAACGCGATGTTCCAGTATCTTTTTTTTTCTCTCCTCACCCAGCTGTCGGGTGTCGCACTCTGCCTTCCAGGAAGGCCAATCCGGGTCAAGCATTTTTCCTCATTTCACGTCGGAGCATACACACACACATAGATACGCTGTATATACCCCGTTCATTTTCAGAATACCATCCCAGGGCATAAGCCATGGGCTAGATGATTTACGTACAATCCCACCGGTGCCATTTACACTCTCTTGACGACTAATTCGTTGCACGCGGCGAACCAGGGCACCGTACCAACCCCTTCGTCTGTACTGCATTCATCTAACCCCTTCTCGTAGCACCAATTCTACTATCGTTTATTCGTGGGAAGAGGAAGGAAGTGGATATATGTATGAAATTTTCAAGGGACGGTCGATTTTATTCTGGAATTTGTTGAGCTAAATAAGATTGAAGTCATCACACAAGATAGGGAGCAGTGAACCGTTCCCTCCGGTCTATATAAAAAAAGAGAAATTATTCATTTCATGGCATGTTTACTGGAAGTGTATGAAGAGACTGGGCGCAAGATGAAGCAACTAAGATGATTCGCTTTCGCGTTTTCTTTTCTAGTCTTTATCGGTGACCAAATTTTCTCTCTCCGGCCAAAATTCTCGGGAAAAGAATTCGTTGCCTAACAATTTACTTTGAAAAATTTCCCCTGCACATTGAACTTCAAATGAAACAATTCTGTAAATCATGAAATGATATTGATTTAAAAATGTTGAGCATTGGAACGGATTGTTTTGAAAGATTGAGAGAATGACGTTTAAATAACTCCAATTTTTTTATTTCGTATGATTGTCTTCCCAGATATCTCTCAAGAGAGCTACCTTTCATCCCTTGTACGTTGGTATAAACTACTAGCAGTGGCACACGATGACCAATGCTCCTCCCGAGGACTCTACCTCCTAGCTAGTGGTTCCTCTGAATACAAGGGTACTTTATGACCAAGCATTGTCACCAGACGCTCCACTGCTAGCAAATGAACAAGCCCCCCTGCAGTTCTACTACTCAAGACGGGGCAGCTAGAGATACCACCGCGAGAATTATTACTACGAAGAGACGCCTGACAGCTCAAGGAAGCACAGCGAATGGAGAAAGGATGTGTTTGTGTGTGTGTGTGTTGATCCACTGGTCAGATGACCACGTCAACGCGCAACATTAATTCTGTCCAGTGAACGTCCGAGAGGATCAGAGATACAGATGTTTTAATCCTCGACCATTATCCTCTGGGTGGTACTACTTCTTCCTTGTGAAGAATTGAATTACAGCAAGAGTATGTTTCATGTTTTTCAACACAAAGAATATGCTTGGCAACTTCCTGACTGTCTGGTAGAGTAATATTTTTAATTTATGGGAACAGGGGACGGTCATTTTGGTCATTATTTACGACCATTTTTAGTGGTGAGTTTTTCTAGAAATTAATGATAAGGTTGATGCTCCAGTCGTGGACCTGTAAGCCAATTTTTGTGACAAAATATGTTCCGCTATATCTTTCCATCTCTCTATATGAAGAGAAAAAATAAAGGCCATAGAAATTTAACCGACACCTGCGTGTAAGAGTTAGAAGGATCAGGGTCAGATTCATAAGGGTATAACCCTAAGGGTAAGGGTCATAAAGAGGTCATGTGGAGGTTATACGCAGGTAGGGTCAAAAGAGGTCGACGAATGTTGACCCAGCCCTAGGTGAAGCTTGGCGACAAGCAGTAAGACAAGGGATGCTGAACCAAAACTGGGACAGTGTTGGCTGAAGGTATAATAAAGATCATATGCAGGTTATAAAAGGGCCATATGAGGGTCACAGTAGTTAATGTTACGTAATTCATATCGGTCGTAAGGGTCAGGCTCATAAGGCTATATAAGGGTCGTATGGGGATTATGTAATCGTCGCGGGTATCAAGCGAATAAATCACTTATTTTTCTATATAACATTTGTTGATTCTTCGTAAACATTAAGCCCACATTCATTCATTTCATTGTTAATTGTGAACTCGTAAACTATTTTAATAAGTCAACACAGTGGAAAAAGAGATTTATCAATGTTTTATAATGAAAACTTCCAGAAATGTTCATTATCCAATCTCCCTTGAAATTGAAAATTTTCCCCATATTTTTGAAGAATTTCGCTTCTCATAATTTCGCCGAAAAACTTTTCTGGAATTTCATGTAGCGGTAGTTGCCCGACACCATCAAAGACCCTCGGGGAGTTGGGACGCTCTCTGTGTGCTATCAGTTGACTCGAGCACACCCGGAATAAGTGCCTGGATGAACTATATGTACGACGAATTACTATCCCTAATCCCTTAGCATCTACCGCCCACTTTGTCACCTCCTCTTCTACTAATTGTAAGTAATTGTCTCATTATTCTCAGGTATATATGCTCTTTGAGGAGTGGGTAAGTTCTCGCACACTTGCTGCGTCACCGTAATTCCACAGCCGAGGTAAACGAGGACTGGCTCGTCATTCGGGGCGTTATCTTGTAAGGAAATTGCCAAGATCTTGCGCCTCTGCAATGTTTTGAGAAGATAAGGTATGAGGAATGCTGAGAGAAGGCTGTCAGTTCAAAATTAAAAATTTTTCAGACCACCAACTTCAGCTTGATTATTTCTGAAAATAATGTGTGAATGAAATGTCACGCGAATTATGATTTCGACGTAATTAAGGAATTGGCGCATCTACAGGCAGCATCATCAATAGATACACACACTAATAATTTTTTTGACCAAAATTGTCACGAAATCTCTTTTCCAATTCTTGCAATTTCATTCATCTTTTGGTAGACTGATCCTCTCTAAAAAAAAAGCATAGACGACATCTTGAATCGAAAATGAGAACTCGAACATGGAGAATGTCTCGAACGAAGGGATAAAGTAAGGCGGTTTTCATGAGTACAATTGTCCTGCGTCGAATTTTCATGAAGCCTGTCTAACAATCAAAAGAAAATTGAATACCATTCTATGAAACATGAATAAACAAATCATAATTTTCCAAATTATTTAGGTCAGGGGAAAATAGAATAATTGTGCTTTCTTAATATTACGTTTACGAAAAATTTTTTCGAACAAAGTTGATTAGAATTGAGAGCTAGAATTATGAGATTGTCTCACATTTTCCACGTTAAGGATAGAAGAATCTGAATTCAATACAGTGAAAATGATGATTGATTTATTACCTCATCCAAATCCCATCCACTCGTTTCCTACGACATCACAAAGATGTGGAATGCTATATAAATTTCCTTCTTTAATGTAAAAATGACTTTCAACGAAATAACAAACAATTCATTGAAAAAAGGAATATTGAATCTGACCGGAAAAGGGGCATAATGAAAGGGCAGGCAGATCAACCGCGCAATGAAATGTTTACGTATCAAAAATATACTAAAAGTATGCGTCCAAAACATAAACATTTACATTTCTATTCTATTCTGACCTTCCAATATTTTCAATAATCCAAAACACGTAGTCGACCTCCACATAACCCCTCCTCCCCACCTTGGATCTCCATACGCCTCACGTTACATGCAAAAATGTAATATATATTCCAACCACCTATACACCAGTGAAGTAGACATGGACCTCGCTCGAAATAAAAAAAAGTCTTCACCCTTCTTCGAGTCCGAAGGAGATGAGTAAAAAAAATAGAAATAGTAAAAAAGTTTCAGCGAACTCTTCACTGGCAAAGTTATTAATTTCAATTTTCAACTTGTACTGAGATGCTTTTAACCTTCTCACATTTTTTATCTCTTGAAGATTTTTTTACATCACATGAGCAGAGTTTATATTCACCAAAATGGCCGTCGAAGCCATGGTCCCCCTCGGCGTGTGATAGAAAACGACATTATCGATCGTAAGGTCTCGGTCCTCCGGTGGCTTTTTCCGGGCGAAGGATGCGACGAAATTTCCTCAGCTCTATCAAGCCAAAGTCCTCGAAGGGACTGATCTATATTTTTTTTACTCTCTACCTGAATTTTCTTTCCACTCTTTTACTTTTTCTTCTACCTCAGCCCGGACTTTTCCGCCTGGGCGATTTTCCTAGGAGTAGATGGAACGGGAGGAAAAAAAATAGTAAAAATTCCCCAGCGAAAGGTAGAAGGCAAAAGGCAAAGGTTATCCCAATGGTCTTGCAATGCAGTGACTATGCGGCGTAATGCAGAATTACTTGTCTCAATGTACGCCGAATAAACATCGAGAAGAATGTTTCTTTAGAATGAAAAATTCAATGTTTTATTCAAATTTATTTTCATCCATAAAATAAATTTTCGAGTATGCTCATCTCAGTCTTTAATTATTTTTGTGAATAAATATCTTGAGCTGTTGAACGATGAAGGTTTCGAAGTGTCTCAGTGATGTTTTGGTTGAGCTGTCGTACCCAAGCTTGGCCCAAGCATGTGTCAACACTGGTAACTAAGCCTAACACTGTGTTTACACTTTGCGACTCCCGTTATAATCGGGGAATAGGGGAAGCGAATTCGGAGAATGCAACTGTATTTCGTTATCCCCACCTCACGTTCACGCGGAGAGAGATTTGAGAACTGGAGCCATAAAATAAAAATACGAAGAATTTAATTTTGGTTGTATTGAATTTAGCGCTGTATCAAATAATTTTAATCATTACGTTAACATTTCAATACACATTGAATAACTTTTTTTTTCTACAAGACCCTTTTTTTATTATTAAAGTGATTCTGGTCTTCTAGTTTTAGTTGTAAGATTCACCTTAATTCTCTTTTTTTAACGGTTCATCGGCAATCTTGCTGTTATTTCATGTATTCTGATTCGCCCGGTGGCTTGGCACAGTGGGTAAGTTCGTTGCCTCACATGCGAAAGGTTCCGAGTTCAAATCCCGACCGGGTAGAATGGTGCGATCTAACGATTTAAAGTCTTGATCATCATCGCAGTATACCCTAATCGGGTCGAAGAGATGTAAAATAACGAAAAAAAAAAATTTATTCTGATTCATTATCTAATTCACCTTATCCCAACAAAGCTAGAACCTCTCTCCATGACGATCTAAAGAGAAGGGAATTTCATGATCGAAAATTCATATTTAGAGTATTTTATTCTTCGCCTTTCCTGGAATTGAGACAATGCCTGCTCAAAGATAATGTTGGAGTGTTTACTCCGAGGTCCGTGGGTAGTAGAGGCAAGCGATCGGGGAATGGGGGAAGCGAATTCGGAAAATGCGATTGTATTTCGCTGTCCCACCACGTGCTCAGGCGGTGCGAAATTCAATGATCGGCCGTCCATCAACTAATCCTCTAACAGTAATCAACCAACGGTCGACCGAATGCCAAAGTCGACCTGCTATTGACCCACCATCGAGTAGCTGTCGATCGATCTATCAGGGAATTTTCATCTCGAGATCATCCAATACTGGCCAGACCCTGTTCGCCATGACTCAAGCTCCCCCATCAGTTGAAAACAGCATCATCGGCCCCTGTCATGTCCCATTATATAGTCTTGCTTCCTGATGTTGGCAGAGCCCTGGTCCAACGTCGGCCCCTTCTCAACCTGTTATCCAATGAACCTGTTTTCAGTCTTCAATCTCCTCTGCTCCCCTCAGAAATCCTCGAAAACAACATGAAGCATGAAAAATACTCCCGTTTGTTGATTCAACACAATCTTCGGAATTATTCATCCCCAGCGAATTTATTCAACCGCTCATTTGATTCGAATGAAGTATTCTGTTCCCAAGAGGAAAGAGAATTTTTCAAGACACTCATGTGCGTCCAATCAACGCCCACCGCAAAATCCAATCGACCTTTAGAGATTCTTTACGTTTCCTATTTACAGTTTATTATTTACAGACCCAATGGCTTTATACTCATGTGAACATGTTCACAGTACCTGAGCTGAAGTTTCTACCCGTTGCAGCTGAGGAATATGACATTACTTTCGTCAGTGACGGCCCATCATCGATGAGCACTTCGCACTCACCTGTAACAAAATTGTATGGGAGTTAGTTATGAGGTTTTTGTTGAGGTGTAAAAAAATAAGGAAGGGGAGGAGTAAAATGCATGAACCTATCAGGACAAGGGTTCACGACTGGGGGTTCAATTATAACTCTTCTGACCTTAAGTTTTCTAAAGACACCCACCATTCTTCATCGTGAGTAGGAAGATAATAAAAAATGACTACTATAATTCTCTTAGCCAGGTGACCCTTATGGTTCTTAGGACCTCTTCAACCCTAACGTTCTGAAGGGAAACGATAAAAAAATTACTATTGATATGGTTATGGCTCTTATGACCCTTGTGACCCTAATTTTCCTGACGGCATACCCAAATTTTCGTAAGCGAATCCAGCGTTTCTTATCAGTAGATTGAAAATGATGAAAAATGAGTACTGAAACTGTTATGGCTCTTATGAACCTTTTGACCCTTTTACCACTCTTATGACCCCCTTATATCCCTTATGACTTCTTCAACTTCAATTTTCTTAAGGGGGTCGACCGTTTCTCATCACTAGACTGAAAATGATGAAAAATGACTTCTGAGACTGTTATAGTTCTTATGACCCTTTTAACGCTAATTTTCCTAAGGGCATGATAAAAAAATGACTCTTGGCCCTTACGGCCCTTGAGACCTTCTCAGCCTTAATTTCTTTCTATCTCTCGTTACGAGATTGAAAATAGTAAAAAAAACAACTGCTATGACTCGTATGGTCGTCGTGACCCTTCTGGCCCTTATGAACTTTTTGACCCCGATTTTTGCAACTGAAATTAATGTAGAATGATTCTTCTGACCCTACATCCCGCGTGACCCTTATAGACCTTACAATAATGCACTTCTATTCAATGATGGAACTAAGAAATATTACCGCGACTGAATGAGCATTTAATTGAGAAGATAGTACACTTTTTTCTTTAATTGGAATTGATTCTCGCTTCGGTAGAGTCAATAGAGTTTCCAATGAAAGAAAGAGATGGAGGGACATCCGCTCCAGTGGCTTTAGAGATGTTGCAATGATGAGATTTTTTATTATCGATCATGTTCTTTTTACGAACCAGCGTATAATTGAGTTTTTGCGGAGATGGTAATTTGTGAGATCTATCGGAACATGGAATGAAAGAATCTTCAATGTACCAACTATTCTTCCAATTTCATCTACAATTTCTGATCATGAATATTTTAAATTAGTTTCGAGGCTTTCGCGGCCATTATTAATGACATTATTGGCTTTCGGATGGATGCCGCGTTTGGTTTCAGCATTGTGTCGACGTTTCGCAAACATTGCAGTCTGCATCTTCAGGGCTATGAGCTCTGATTCTGAGCTCCGATGTTTGGGGGTTGTCTTTATATGCCTTCCCCTGTGATGGCGGGAGAAGGGGAAGGGGGGGGTCAGCCAATCGTATGGTTTTAAATGACCAGCTGATCAATCGTATGGTTTTAATTGACCAGCTGATCAATTAAAACCATACGATTGGCTGAACCCCCCCTTCCCCCACCATCACAGGGGAAGATATATAAGGACAATCCCCAAACATCAAAGCTCAGAATCGGAGCTCGTAGCCCTGAAGATGCAGACTGCAATGTTTGCGAAACGTCGGCGCAATGCTGAAACCAAACGCGGCATCCATCCGAAAGCCAATAATGTCATTAATAATGGCCGCGAAAGCCTCGAAACTAATTTAAAATATTCATGATCAGAAATTGTAGATGAAATTGGAAGAATAGTTGGTACATTGAAGATTCTTTCATTCCATGTTCCGATAGATCTCACAAATTACCATCTCCGCAAAAACTCAATTATACGCTGGTTCGTAAAAAGAACATGATCGATAATAAAAAATCTCATCATTGCAACATCTCTAAAGCCNTTGCTCCTACTGATTTTTTATTTCATGGAGAATTTGTTTAGAATATTTATTCCATTGAGAACTATTTTTCTTATAGAAACCTGATTGTGCATTATCACCATTTATTCAAAATTCCTGACTTGGCTTCCTTTTTTACTTCTATGTTAGGATTTCTCTTCGATTACTAATGAACTTAGATTAATTTAAAATATTGATATTATTGGCTTCTGGATGGATGCCGCGTTTGGTTTCAGCATTGCGCCGACGTTTCGCAAACATNATTTCATGGAGAATTTGTTTAGAATATTTATTCCATTGAGAACTATTTTTCTTATAGAAACCTGATTGTGCATTATCACCATTTATTCAAAATTCCTGACTTGGCTTCCTTTTTTACTTCTATGTATTTTTCGAAAATTTCGATTTCCCAGTAGGAATCAAAAAAAAATTTTTTCTTGGCCCAGTTTTTTTACAAAAACGTTTGTTTTTGTGTTTTTATGTAGATTTCATTATTTTTTCCAAAATAAGCAAAGACTGTTTTTACATCCGGTGAAATTTGTTCTTTTCAATTCAATTTAACTCATTCATTTTTCATAAGATAGAACATTTTTTGAATCAACAATTGAAGGGAAATAAACAGTTCTACTCCAGATTTATTGTCTCCACCGAATTCCAATTTTTAATCATCTATTAATAATTTTCTGACTTGATCTGGTTCCTCATTCAATTTTTGCTCTGATGATTCCTATGTGGATTGTATTTCTTGAAGAGATGAATTCATTTCCTTATAGGAATAGTCGAACAAAATGTTCACCAAGAATTGTTCTTGAAAACATCTGTTTTTGTTTTTAAAAATATTGGGGAAACATTGAGTGGAATGGACTCTTCTAACTTCTTGTTTCAATATTTATAACCAAGGAACAAATTTATCGATTGAGCTCAGTCTCAGCTCATTACAAAGGGGCTGACTGTGCTTTAATTTTTTTTTAATTCTATTTCATCAACACTTCAATAAGACATCAACATTTTGAAAAGGGTTCAAAGTGTCCATTTAATCCCACCGTCTACTACTAATTTTTCCTAAATAATCACAAAATTGTTCGCATTTCACTGTCACTTAATTTGGAAAAATTTTTTCCACTGAATGAAAACATTTTCTGTTACACTCGGAAAAAAATAAATATATTCTTCTCGACTTCAACTATTCACGGACATTTAATACTTGATCACGCAATATTTTCGACACATCTCACTTTTGTCACATTCCAAACATAAACCGATAACCTCACAAACAGTGCATAAACTACCTTTATGTCCGAGGTCCGTATATGAATATAGATATGGCGAGATGAAATTTGAATTTTCGACAAGAGAAAACAAAATAGAACACCGAGTCGATTTTCCGTTCCATTCTAATAAGTGATTTAACGTGAAGAAGAACATTTCCGGTGGTTCTCCATAACAACATCACAACCCACATTCAAATGCACTGGTGGCAACACTTCAACGTTGGATGTGAGGCTCAATTGGACCGGCGCTGCCAACGTTACAACTTAATTCTCCGATTTTATAATGTGAATCGCGAGAATGTGAATATCAATCCGTTGCTATGCGCGTATCTTTTTTACTGTTAATCCAAAAAATACTATAGTTACACCGTTGAAAAGCTCATAGGTGATTTATATAATGTAACTAACGACACTTTCCCGATTTGTCGTCCCGTTTTCATTATACCGAATGTAAATCATTTGGAGGTAGTGGAGGGGGAGGTTCTGTCGTGTATAGATACGCGGTGCGCTCGGTCTGATGTTTTGCTCAGTCGGTCAAAACTTTTCTTGGCCGATACGCTACCGCGTATCTCGATCTCAAAATAATAATCATCAAATTTCAGATCAAAACCCGCTATTTCCCGATAAAGGATTTTGTTATGGGTCAAACACGCGAAATTCCTTCATCTTTTATTCGAACTATTCAATGCATCTTAAATAAAGGACATTTATCAGTGTTTTATTCATCGCAAGACTGTCCTAATCCCTTGATTGAAACCAACCCTTACATTTTTCACAATTTATAGCTCCATTCACATCGCAACTGTCAATTTCTAACTTGTCCTAAATTTATATTTTTGGTAGTCAATAATGAACAAAATCTCATCAAAGGAACACATCATCGGCGGTACTCCGAGTCGAAATTTTACCGGGTCTCCCAACGAAATGTCAGGGTCCACTGGTGGGTTTAGGACGTTGAAAATACGTTGTCCAGTGTACAGGCTCAAATACACCGATTCAACCTACTTTCGACGTAAATACCGTCTCTTTTTTCATTTTTTCCAGGTTGTACGTTGAAGTAAGGTTGAAACTAAACGTATCCCCAACGTTCCTCCACCATACATTCTTTCCTTCCTTCCTGCCCCCCTACCCCCTTCACACTACCAATTCCATTCTAACATCGATTAATTGATTAAATCTTGCATAAATTAATCGGTGGAAGAATGGCAAAAATATAAATATTATTAACTGATTATTATCTGAAGGTTAGATGCGTCTCAGTGATAGTTGAATTTAAGGGTCAGATGGGTCTAAGGATTAGTTGAGTCCGAAGGATCATGCGAATTTGAGGGTCTGTTGAGTAAGGGTCAGATACGCAAAAGCTTCAGTTCAGTTTAAAGGTCAATTGCGTCCAAGTGTCAGTTGAGTTTAAGGGTCAGATGGGTCTAAGGGTTATTTGAGTCTGAAGGATCAGGGGAATCTAAGAGTCAGTTGAGTCGAAGGGTCAAACAACTACAAAGGGTCTGGCGAATTTAAGGGTCAGTTGAGTGTGAAGGATCACGCGAATCTGCGAGTCAGTTGAGCCTAAGGGTCAAAAGAAGACGAAGGGTTAGGCGAATCTAAAGGTCAGATGAGTAGAAGGCTGAGTTGAGTTTAAGGGTTAGTTCAATCTGAAAGTCAGATGACCTCTGGCTCACCTGACGCTCAGAATCGATCTGACTCTCAGACTCATTTGACCCTTATTCTCATCTTAGACTCATCTGACTCTCAGGTCCAATAGGGCCTTCGCACTCATCTGACCCATACACACAACTGGCCCTTAAATTCAACTGACAGTTGAACTCAACTGAGGATTTTAATTATCTGACCCT